TGCAGCAATTTCCAGGCATCTTTTTTTTTTTTTTTTAAATGAAAGAATCCACATTAAACTAAAGAGTTCAATGTAAAATTGCTTCCAGAGTAGCCCAGGATGGGAGAGAGAAGCAGAGAGCTGTGGTTGAAGCAGGGTCCTGGGCCTGCTGTCCCAACTTGCATACTCCCCTCTTCCTGGCCCCAGAGCTCCCAGGGGTGGCTAGGAGCCCACTGCACACACCATGCCACCTGGGGCATCAAGCAAGGCACAGGCCTGTCTGGGTGAGAAGTTGTATCCAGCTGGCACTCTGGTGCCTCGCCAGAGTTTATCTTGGCCACCTTCCCAGCCTGAGACCCACTGATGCAGGTTGCTGGGGGAAGGGCCGTGGCCTCACTGGTCAGGGTGCATACCCCTGAGGGGTCTGGAAGGGGCCACATGGGGACCTGATCACAGCTGTAGGATGTGGGCCTTCTCCTGACACCTGTGCAGGGGTTCTGAGTCCCAAGGCCATGGGATGGAGCCAGAGATGGGCCCAGTGCAGTGACTCAGATTTTCTCTGCAAGGCAAAGGGCCTCTGAAGGAGTATTACAGAGGCCTCATCGGCCAGAAGCATTTCCAGCACATCCAAGTCTGTACTCCGTGGCTGGAGGCTGAGGACTACCCCCTGCTTCTAGGTAAGGGCATTCAGTAGGGGGACTGCAGGGAGAGAGCTGAGGGTTAAACAGGAGTATCTTACGGTACGGGGGACAGAGTTTTCCTGAAAAGGGCCAGATAGTAAGTGTTTTATTTGCCTCTGTTGTATATTCTTTGTTTTTATAACCCTATACAAAGTAAAAGTCATTTTTAGACCAAGGGCCATACACACACAGGCCTGAGGCTGGATTGGGTCCTGCTCAAGGGCCACGTGGGGCAGGGGGATGCCATGTGCCAGGAACTTGTTGGAGGAGCTCTTGGCTGTACTTGGGGGAGATCCAGGCTGTTTCCTGGTGTGCCGGCTCCTCCTGCCTTTGGGGCCTGGACGTCTTCTCCACGGATCTGAGAGGGTTCTGTCCTCTTATTCTCCAAGCCCTCCATTTAGTCCTGCTTTTCCATCTGGGCAGAAGGTTGGTCCTGGGCTTGGGTTGGGGTCCACGTTCCCCAGGTCTGGGAGGGCAGTGGCTTGGGAGGTGTAGAAATAATGTGCTAAATAGCATTGACTCCCCTATGTCTCCCTGGCTTCCTCTGTCTTCCTTTCTCTGGGAGGGGCGTGCTGGCCTAGTGCTGATGTATCTCCAAGGCCTCATCTTCCCGCAGCCAGTGAGCAGTCTCCAGCGGAAAGCCTTTGGTTGGCAGGGGTTTTCTAATCAGTGTTTAGTGGTGTCAGATTGTTTATTTGGCTTTATTTTCATAGAGACAGCTGGTTTTCTGTTACGTTTTTTCCCCCCCTCCTTACTGTGATAAAACATACAATAAAAGTTTGCTATTTTAACGATTTTCCCATTTTAAAGTATATGTACAACTTGGTGACATTAATTATGTTCAGTGTTGTACAGTCATCGCCCTATTTCCAAACCGTTTTCATCATCCCAAGCGGAAACTCTGAACCCCTTCAGCAATAATTGCTACAGGTTCTTTTTAAAGAAATTGTGGTTAAGTAGACAAAGGGGGTCTGACTAAAGAAAACTACTCGTGACAGGCAGGTAGTTTTCAAACAGGGCCGAGTGGCTGGGAGTGGCAGTTGGGGAGGTCTGCTATGTACTTGGCCTTCTCCAGCCTGTGGCATTATTACCCACGTTCCATTCCCCACTTGGGGTGTCGATCCACAGTCCTTTCAGGGTTTGTGTTCCTCGGGTGCATGGGTGGTGCTCTGACCACTCCCTTTGCCCCCACCTCGCAGGGTCGGCAGACCTGGGTGTGTGCTTGCACAAATCCTCCAGCGGCCTGGACCTGCCCATGAAGGTGGTGGACATGTTCGGGTGCTGTCTGCCCGTGTGTGCCGTGAACTTCCAGTGGTAGGAGCAGAAACTGAATCTTCCCGGGGTTCGGTTCTCAAATCAGCTGTGGGGGTGGAGGGGGGGTGTTGCCAGTGAGGTCAAAATTGCTCCAGGAATTGCCCTGGAAGATTGTGCAGCATTGCCAGGTGGTCCTCTGGGGGGAGGGCCCTTGGGGTTTCTGTGGGAGGGCTGCACCCTACTGAAGGGGTGGGCTTCCACGGAGAGCTGATGTCCGACAGAAAACATGTGTCTTCTCTACTTAGGGGGCCTTTGCTCATGGATAGACGGGTGGCTGGTATTGACCGCACAGTTGACCTGGTTTTATTTCTCTCTTTCTGAGCTCATACAGTTGAATTGGAATCCGTTAAATGAGTGTAGTTCTCTGTCACCACTTTTCCTGGTGAAGATGGTGTTTGGAGAGGGCGGTGTTACAAGAGGTTCAGTACAAGAGAAATAGTAGCTCAACCACCAGCTCAGGAGCCAGCCTCTGAATGGGAAATAGCCTCTGTTAGACCCTGAGCTCTGGGCACATTGGCATCAACTCTCTGGTGACCCAGCAAAGTCATCCTTAATATGCCAAGTCTACCTCCAGTGGGGTTGCCTTTCACCTTGTTTCTCTGCTGTGCAATTAAGAAAAACATGGAGGGGCGCCTGGGTGGCGCAGTCGGTTAAGCGTCCGACTTCAGCCAGGTCACGATCTCGCGGTCCGTGAGTTCGAGCCCCGCGTCGGGCTCTGGGCTGATGGCTTGGAGCCTGGAGCCTGTTTCCGATTCTGTGTCTCCCTCTCTCTCTGCCCCTCCCCCGTTCATGCTCTGTCTCTCTCTGTCCCACAAATAAATAAACGTTGAAAAAAAAATTAAAAAAAAAAAAAAAAGAAAAAAACATGGAGAACTCGCTGAGCACATAGTCACTGAAAAGAGCATAGAGCAGAAAAGGTCAAATGTGTGTTCACTGTACCTCCTCTTTGGAATCATTTTGGATTTTTAATGTGTATCCCTGCAGGCCTTTTTTCTATTCAGATGCTAAATCTGAGACTCACTGAAAGCAGACTGTTCTGACCCCTGCCTGGCCTGTGGGAGGGGTGGTGTGGGAGGCCGGGTGGGCACCGCAGGGTTTGGGTTTCTCTAGGCACCTCTTGGTTCTGTGATTCCCTCTGCAGCTTACACGAGCTTGTGAAACATGACGAAAATGGCCTGGTCTTTGAGGGCTCTGAGGAGCTGGCGGCTCAGCTGCAGGTAATCACGTCTGCCCCCATGCCACGGCACCGACCCACGCCCCCCAATTCTTTGCTCCTGTGGCCGGCCAGGCTGGATCCGAGAGCTAAGGCCGGGAGCAGTGGTCTCAGAGGCTGGGCCTCAGTGGGCTCGGGGGTCTGGACATGCTCTGACTGCCCTCTGGGTTTGTGGAGCTTACACCACACAGATGATGCCAGAGCTGGTAGACCGTGTGCTCTGTCTAGGGAGCGACTGGTTCTGAGTAGGAGGGATGCGTGAAGGGGGCTTCCCAAACTTTCCCTGAGGGTGGGTGGGAGTCTTCAAAGGGCACTTACTACAAAAGTAATACATCATCATTCTTGGCAGTTGAGACCAGGGGCAGCAAACTTTCTGGGAAGGCCCAGATAGAAAAAGTTTTAGGCTTTGCCATAGTCTCTGCTGTAACATGAAACCAGCCACGGACAGCCTGTGAATGAAGGGGTGTGGCTGTGTTCCAATAAAACTGTGCTTACAAAGACAGCTGGGGGCCAAATTTGGTCCACTGGCTTAGTTTGGAGACTCCTGATAAAGTTTAGCAAAGCTGGAAGACTGCCTAGTTCCAGCATGTGGGCTGGACGGTGCTGGGCAGAGGCTGAGGGTGGGTGCTCTTGGTGGACAGAACATTGCTGGAGTGGCCTGTGGCTGAGCAGGGCACAGTGGGTGGAAAATGCTGCAGCCTGGCTGCACTGTTAAGTAGGAGCAGAGAAGGGGAAGGAGCACGGGCCAGGGTGTGAGGGTTTTCTTGTGCCCCATGAGGAAGGGGCTTGCTGGGTCGGGGATATTCCGGGTCAGAGCTGTGTTTTGAGAACATTTAATTAGCCAAGCCTGCCATGGAGGCTGGGTCAGAGCAGGAGGCCTGCTGGGGGCTCCAGGACACTGACAGTGGTTCTTGAAGTGCAGTGACAGAGGGTTTCAGTAGCATCACTGGCCTGGCTGCCTGTGATTGGAGTGGGACCAGAATCCAGGCTGCTGGGAAGGAGGAGGGACAGCTCTCTGGTGGGACCTGGGTAGGGGTGGGAAGCAGTGATGAGGTTAAGTTCTGGTCTTTATTTTTCTTCTAGATGCTTTTCTCAGCGTTTCCTGATCCTACTGGCAAGCTAAGCCAGTTCCGGCAGAACCTCCGGGAATCAGAGCAGCTTCGTTGGGATGAGAGCTGGAAGCAGACGGTGCTGCCTTTGGTTATGGACACATGACCCTTTGGGCCAAATACTGAGAGCTCCTGAGCGACGCCCAATTCCTTTTAGCCTCTTCTAGCCTATCTGGCCTTGACAAATGCTTTAGAGCAGTGCCTCCCAGTGGACAGCAGCTGGAATGACGGCTGTGGAATGAAATGTTTTTATGACCCAGTTTGTGGCCCAAGAAACTGGTTCACCCTGGTTTCCTCCCTCGAGGCTCTCAATCACTCCTCTCCTCCTGATCTGAGTCTTTCTTTCCCCCCAGTATTATTACTTTCCTGTTGTTTGCACGTGGCATCGTCAACGTCTCTTAGGCCCGTTCCGGTGTCTGCCTTTCCCAGCATCTGCCCTGTTGTGTCCCTAGTATTGTCTTTCCTGCCTTGAGGAGAGGCACTGCAGTCTGCTGCCTTGTAAGAGTTTAATAAGACGTGCCACATGTACAACAGGGTTGGCTTCGTGATGGACGTGGGTCCAGGCACCGGTGGGGGGAAACATACTTGATCTGTTTTTATTTGCCCAAATGAAATGCTTGTTTCTGAGCCAAAAATTCATTTTTGATTTATGGAGGTGTGTTTACTTAAGAGCCAGAACTAGTGATAGAAAGGGGCACCCATTTGAATGTATTTTATTAGAATACAGTTTGTAGTTCCTGATTCTGAATTTAACATTCTTAAAAAAATTTTTTTCTTTCACGTTTAATTACTTTTGAGAGAGAGACACACAGAACGGGAGCGGGGAAGGAGCAGAGAGAGGGAGACACAGAATTCCAAGTAGGTTCCAGGCTCTGAGCTGTTAGCACAGAGCCTCATGTGGGGCTCGAACTCACAAACTGAGATCATGACCTGAGCCGAAGTCGGACGCTCAACTGACTGAGCCACCCAGGCGCTCCCTGAATTTAACATTCTTCAAGCATTCAAGTCCAGTGGAAATTTTACCAGCTTTCCCACATAAAAATTCTTTCCAGGATGGTGATTTAATTTTAATGGTAATCTTTAAAACCATTTGTAAACCTACAGAGTTAGTTTCAGAATTGCCATCTCTGAGTGCTCTTCATAGGGAAACAGCTTCTGGTCGTGATGAGGCACTGCTTCCCATGGGATCCCAGCAATGCCTGGAAACAGAATATGTGTCTCAGGAAGGTGGGGTCTGGGGACACGACACCACCCGATACAGGTTACGGCTGCAGGACAGGCCTAGGGGTTATATACAAACCACAAACTTCCAGGCCCCAACCAGACACCTAGAGTCATTTCAGGGATGGACCAAGAACTGAGTTTTTAAATGGCTCACAGCAGCCAGGTTTGTTGCCCCTGCCTTCTGGGCCATGTGCATCCCTGGAAGGTCACAGACCTGTCTGGGTTTCTTGCCCACTCAGCCTGGTGCCTCTTCACACAGGCTAGATGTGCATCAGAAGGGGTTCATCTCTTCATAAGCACAGATGTCTCAGAAGCCCTTGGCAAAGATCATTTTGTCATCAGGTTTTTACAAATGAAAATAATTATTTATAAAAATGAAATCTTAGACATAAAAGTACAGAAGTGTCAGGGTACCTGGCTGGCTCAGTCGGTGGAGCATGCGACTCTTGATCTTGGGGTCGTGAGTTCAAGCCCCATGTTGGACCTAGTGGTTATTTACAAAATGTGTGTGTGTGTGTGTGTGTGTGTTTATCTATAGTCCTGCCACCAAGTGTAACTACTGTTACTTGGTGCGTGTTTTTCAGATTATCCCCTAGATGCACATTAACACAAACATTATTTTTAAAAATACAAATGGGCTTATACATATATGGTGTTTGGTACTTTGCTTTCTTCCCTTAAACTACAGCGTAGATAATTTTCACATAGTGTCTGAAGAAGGACTTCATTCTTTTTCAAGGTTACATGCACTGTCTGGGGCATGAGCACACGTGGTGGGCGTTTGGGTCGTCTCTGTGTCTGCTGTGACAGCAGAGGCTGCTGTCGGTGGGGCTGCGCCTGGGGGCGTGGATCAGGGCAAACCCAGTCCTGCACTGCTGCCCGGTCATGTGTGGAAAGTCCTGGCTGGGCTTGGCGCGTGTCGGGGATTGCAGGGCAGTGGTCGGTGGTTGTGGGGTGGAGAATGGAGAGCGAGACTCGGCTGCCTGACTCCACCCTGGAGCTTGGGGAAACAGCTCCCCTGCACCCCAAAGTTTCCATGGGTGAGAGCAGAGGATGGCAGCACACCCCTCCCTCCTGACAGGTCAGGTCTGAGGACAGTGCCTGGGCGCAGCAGTGCTCGTTCAGGGTGTAAATGGCAGAGGCCTCCCTCCTCTTCTTCCATTTACTGGATGCTTGCTGTAGTGACAGCAGCAGCTACCACGTTCCCGAGTGCTCCCTGCATGCCAGTCCCTGTGTCACCTCCCAGGGGGATGTTCCCACCATACCGATGAGGACAGGGATGTGAGTAGTGGCCCGGCTTCACCATAGCAGGTGGTGGGATCTGCTCCAGAGCCTGCCCTCACCGCTGTGTGGACAGAACTCCCCTACCCTGACACCCACTGGCATCCGCCATCCTCTCCATTTTACCAGGAAAGAGGCCTGCACGTCCCTGAAACCTGCTCTAGGGCTGCTAGTCTCTGACCTCTGGGACTGCTGCATAAGTTACCTCCTTCCAGAGCACAGCTCCCCGGCCCTGCCTCCTCTGCAGACCACCCAGGGGGGGTGGAGGTGGTGGGTGGATGGCCCAGCACATTGTGTGTTCTGGGGCTTTCTGGTTTGTTTCCAGGGCTTCATTCTTTTACTTTGCTTATTTCTGCCTCACCGGAGTCCCGTGTGGGGCCCAGGTGGCCTCTCAGAGATAGCAGCCCCTCCCAGGGCCCAGGGCTCACCCAGCTCGCTAGTGAACAGCTGGCATGTCTCTGGGTTGCGGACGGTGAAGGCAATGTAGGCGTCAGGAGCCTGCTGGTTCTTCAGGCAAGCAGAGAGTCTCTGCAGGACTCGGACCAGGGAGAGGACAGTTTCTGGGCAATATAGCACATCTGCAATGAAAAACCTCAGGTTACTGAAAGGGGCTTGGTCTAGGATTCAGTGCCCAGAAAGCTTGCCTGGTTGTGCTGACCTCAGCAGCAGGGTGGGAGCCTGGAAACCAGCAGTTTTTTTTAGACTTGCCCTATTGGGTACAAAGAAGATGATGTGGGTAAAAAGGAAAACTCTTAGGAGAGAAAGAAAGTTGCTGAAAGACCATGCAACAAATGGAACATACCTAGGACCTACTGATGTTCCTTTTAAAAAAATCAGGGGCGCATGGGCGGCTCAGTTGGTTGAGCGTCCAACTTCGGCTCAGGTCATGATCGTGTGGTTTGGGAGTTTGAGCCCTGTGTTGGGCTCTGTGCTGACAGCTCAGAGGCTGGAGCCTACTCCTGATTCTGTGTCTCCCCTCTCTTTGCCCCTCCCCCACTTGTGCTCTTGCTCTCTCTCTCTCTCTCTCTCAAAAATAAACATTAAAAAAAATCAATTCTTTGCCTGTGGTCTATTTAGAAGATGCTTAATAAAGCACACCTTGACTTTATCTCAAACCTTGCTGCTTTGTTAGCTGTATGGGGGCGGGGTGGGGGACAAGCTCGTTCCCTGTTGGCATGCTTACATGGGAGGGTACTGCTCAGGCTTTGTGTTCTGACCACTGTGGGTCTCCGAGTCGCAGCCCAGGACCAGAGGCACAGCACTGTCAGCTGGATAGGGGACTGGGTGAGCTTGGTGGAGGACAAGGGGCCCGTTGGCCAAACACTCCTCTCAAGGACCCTGTCCAAAGACATGGGCATGGACCTGGGATACAGACATGCAGACATGTGACAACAGCTATGCGCAGAGCAGACAGAAGCTCCCAGGGGTGGGGGGCACTCAGAGCTCTCTGCCTGACTCAGACACCACTGTGGCCTAACCCTAGGCCTGGCCCGGGGCTGGATGCCCATGACATGGTCCTGGGAGAATCACGCTGTCCTTCACAGCCCTGAAAAGTCAGGGCTGCCATGGCTATGTCTTCCCCACATCTGAAGATGGGGTTATGGTACAAGTGGGGCTGGTGTTCAGCTGCTCTGGCCATTTCATTTTTGTTCTAGAGATGGACATAATAATCTCTCTCCTCGGCTGCTAATAGGTCAGACTGGTTTGGTGCCCTGGGGCCTGTTCTTTCCATGTCAGGCTTTGCTGAGAAAAGCTGGGCTCATTTATCTGATGGGACCATTTGCACAGGAGTACATGTGTCCACTGTGTCAAATGGGAGGGCTGTGGCTTTATGGCCCCCAAGGGGCATGAGCTATGCTTTGATGTCACCCTGGAGGCCCACAATGGCTCTTCTAAAAATCTCATCACTCCTCTGCCCTGGCAGCACCCACTGTCCCCTTCCCAGAGCTGAGAGTTGGGTGGAGCCGCTCCAGTGGCCCGGGGATGGGGGGCAGTACCTGCTGCGATGATGACATCTGGCTGGAAGGCAGCGAGCTGAGGGGCCGTCACGACGTCCCAGTCCAGCTGGGCCACTGTCACCCTGGGGCTCTCTGAGTTGCAGGTGTTGTGTTCTGGGTGCCTTGCAGGGTCAGTGACGTCTGCCTCTAATGAGAGGCCGTTGAGAAGGATGTTCCCTCGGAGCTGCTCAAGGACGCAGCTGTGACAGTCACTGAAGATGTATGCACTGGGATGGCATGTCTTGCAAATGGTCAGGCCCGTAAGGCCAGCTCCGCTGCCGAGCTCTAAGACAGTCCTGGGTTGGGGGGAGAAGGGGGCCTGTGTCTGAGACCGTGCTGGGGAAAACCTGCCCTGCTGCCCTGCCCCGCACCCCGAGGGCACCTGTGAGCAAAGGCTGCTGGGTTCTGCATGGCCCATTCTGCAAGGTAGAGTGCAGCATCCCATGTGACCAGGCCGGTGGTGCCATGGGAAATGATGGCTGTGCTCTCCGAGAGCGTGACTGAGTCTCCGGAAGGCTGAGCCAAGAGAGGGAGAGAGAATTAATCCAGCTACCAGGAGACAAGGAGCTGATTGTAAAAAGAAAAACATCACAACAGGTGGATG